AAGTGAGTGATTTACACCTACACGGCATGCAAGATAAGAAGGCATAGTTATCGCCCACGCCAAAGGATAGAAGTCAAAGAAACAGCTGAGCAAAGGCAGCTCAACGGGACAAACTGCCCTCTTCATACCATACTCAGCACACAGCTGCAGTCACAGCTGCGGTCGAGACACCCCTGGCCAGCCATGTTCTTATGCAGGGCTGCATTTGTAGTCAAGTGTCTTCATTGGAGGTCTTTTCATAAAGAGCCCTGACAGTGACCTCTAATAAATATATAAAGATGAATAAAGTACTGATTCATGCTACAACGTGAATGCTCACTGAAAGAAGCCAAATACGAAAGGCCACACATTGCATGATTCCATTTGTATAAAATGTCCTGAATAAGGAAACTCATAGAGACAAAGTAAGTGAGTGGTTGTCAGGGCCCGAGGATGGGGCTTCTTACAGAGCTGTCAACAAGAATACAAGTGGAGCCAGACCTGCCCTCTTACGTCTCAAACCTTTGGGATGTTAAAATAGAGAAGAATCAACTTTGGACTGAGTCTAAGCAATCTCGTGTCCCACAAACTGTTTGCAAGGATAACAAGAAAGCAGATACAATGACCACTGGACCGATGGCTACTGGACCGGAAATTAAAAACATCGTTTAGAATTAACATCTCTATGTTCGCTTCTCTGCACCAATAGAAACCCTCCCTTCTATTGATGTCGTTGTCCCCCTTCCCTTTCTCATAAGCGCCCCTTGCCTTTGTCTCCTAATTGGAACACTATTTGGGTTTCTACCTGAATCAGGGCTTCCCCAAGGAGTTATTCTTATTACCTCAAATAAACGCTTGTTTGCCTCTCCTCTGTCTTTGAAAAGTCTTTTATTTTTAGGTCGACATAGGTACGATTAGTGAAATCATCGGCCATTGGTGCTTAACTCAATGTCCATCTCGTCTCCCTTCCCTGGAGGTTGGGGAGTGGGGCAAAGGCTGCTAGTTCCAAATTTATAATCACATACTGGTTTTCTGGGATCTAGCCTCTACCCCGATGCCCACCAAAAGCCACCTCATTAGTATAAACTCAGGTACGTTTGAAAGGGGATTATTATGAATAACAAAAGACGCTCCTCTTATTCCCATCATCAGGGAAATCTCAAGAGCTTTAGAAGCTCTCGTTGCAGGAACCAGGGATGAGGACCAGATATATATTTCTGACTATATCACAATATCACAGATACTCTCTCTAGACAAGAGGCTAGGAATCTGAAGATAGGAACGCAAGAACAGAACAAAGTTCTGACTCCTGATACTTGTGAACGTGACTTTGTTTGGAAATAGGTACTTGGCAGATGTAATTAAGACAGAACAAAGGAGCTTGGATCTGAGTAGAGAACGGGTTTACATGATAGTAAACCCAGGACCAGCAAGGAAGAGTCCCTATGAGTCAGGGCATGGCTGATGGATCTTGTGGACATTTGTTAAGTAACTATTTATGAAGCACCTACTGTGTGCCAGGCACTGCTATAAGCACTGGAATTAGAGCCCACCCTCACTCCCAGGTAGGGTCCAGTAGAATTCCAGGATTGCTGCCCTTCCCCTTCCAAATTGGGATGTGTGCTGCAGGTCCCTGACAAAGCACTAGATGTTGGACATGGAAGGAAGCGGATAACTCAAGTCTTCGGTTCTATGGGCTTGCTACGGAGATCCACATATCACCCCCGATGTGGAGACTATTCTACATCACTCAGAGATCCTGACTTTGCAGCTTGATGCCATAACAGGTAGAACTTTGGAGCCATCTCTCTCAGGGAGGGGTGCCTGCATTTTGCAAGCAGGAAGGAGAATGAGCTGAGATTTTCGGCAACCTGATGGGTGGATTCTGATAGTAACTAGTATTTTCCACCCAGTATTTTCAGCTTTCTTTCTTCCAGGCTCATGGAAGTGTGCCGCTTTCCTGCATTCTGTGAACTTAGGCTGGGCAGCATCAAGCACCTTGGCCAGTGGAAATCAAGCGATATTGACATTTCAGCTATCATGAATAGATTTGAACCCTTCACGGACCTGAATGAGCGAAAAACGTTTATCGTCTAAAGATCTTAAAGGGATGTTTGTTATTACAGCATAACCTAGCCTACCCTACCCCGACCAACACACAAGCTTCAGGGGAAAGAGGAAACATCAACTTTGACAATAAAATTTGAGATTTTTTTTCAGCTCCTATCAAGGCAATAGTCTTGAAAGCTAACTTTGGCAACAGAAAAAAAGAAAAAGAAAAAAAGTATTTTATAAATTCTTTAAACTCTTTAAATTCTTTAAATGATGTGTTGACATTCAGATCAAAAAGACTTCTGTGGTCAAGGTTACTCATGTCAGATAGAGAGCTGAAGTTATGGTAATGATAATAACAACAATAGTAATAATGGTAGTAATAGCCACCACCAGTTCCTTACTACACATTAGCCCGGTGCTAAATACTTATGAATATTAACTCTTTTAATCTTTATAGCAAGTCTATGAGCGAGATAACATTATTAACTCTGGAGAACTGAGGCACAGGAAGGTTGAGTAACTCGCTCAAGGTCACACATCTGGTAAGCAATGGAGCCAGAATTCTTCATTTAAGTTCCAAGTTCGGAATTTGGGTAAGGAAAGTCAGGTAAGTCATGTAAGCGCAGGATCAGATCCAGTCTTTATTGTCAACATTTTGGGTGAAGGTGGTCCAAAGGTACAAACTTCCGGTTGTAAAATAAATAAATCACGGAGCTGTCACGTACACGGTGATTGTAGTTAATAACACTGTCTCGCCTATTTGAAAGCTGTTAAAAGAGTAGGTCCGAAATGTTCTCATCACAAGGAAAAAAACTGTTAAACTTTTTTTTGACATTTCGTTCCTCCCGTGCTTTTTTTGCAATAATGTTTTGGCTTTTGAAAATATTACACTAGAATATTATTTAACTGGATCACTGAGTTTGGGGCGCTTCCTTGCTTTCCCACGTGAGGGCCTCACCCACCTCCCCCTGCTAGGCTGGCTGATTTTATTTTCTGATCCTTTAACCTCTGAGTCATACAAGCCCTTATCGTGGGAAAATGGGAAAACCCCAACTTCCAGCCCCAGAGAAAAGGGGACAGGGATGGATTAGGGAAGGTTGGTGCAGAGGCAGGGGTGTCCTCATGCCCCCTCTCTCCTGGCTGAAATCCAAAGAGCGGGAAGCATGATATTTGTTAAGAGGGTAACTGTAGCCAAGGATCCCTGGTCTCCTTCCAGTTTAAAACTCCACCAAGGAGAACACCAAGAGGCATAGCCCTCTGACAAGCTGGGGACATCCACAGCAAAGGGACAGCGAAGGGGTAGCCAAATCAGAAAACAAGAACGCCGAGTTGGCACCTTTAAGCTGTCCTCACTTCCCAGGGGCATAGATGGTTCCTAGTGCTCCATGGGCAGAGCAAAAGGCAGCCAGAATTAAACCGGTGGACTTGAGGGTCCCCTCAATTCCCTCCCCCACACTGTGCTGGGACTCCCCTGACTTCTCAGAAGTCATGAAGGGACTTAGCCGGCATGGGAGCGGGAAATCCACCATGTTCCCTCCCTGCAGCCTCTCGCGTGAAGATTCAGCCAGCTCTGGTTTCAGAGCCTCCACCCTTGGCGGAACCACACAGTCCAGAGAACAGCCGCTAGAGAGAGCCCCCGGGTGACACCAGCCAAGTGTCACCAAAGCAGTGGGGAAACCTGGGCTGCAGTTCCTGATGCAAATTGTTGAAAAGGTGTTGAAAGGTGACCCCTGCCAGGTTTTTAGCCAGAGGCTAAGCTCTCAATAATAAATGGGTCTTTGGTTTGGTTTGGTTTTGTTCTCTTTGTTACTACAAATCATGCCAAACTGAATGTTCAAGTGTGCGCATTTGCGTTTGTGACATACGCCAGTGCACCTGTAAAATAAACTCCTCGAAGTAAAACTGCTAGGTGGAAGGTGAGGCGTATGTTGGTATGTTAATCGATTTCTCCAAACCGTCTTCCCAAAGTTTGGCTCTATTTCAAATCCCAGAATCCAATTCTCTTTCCAGTTCTCTGATTATGAATGAGACTATGTTCCAAATGCATTTGTATTGCTTTATATAATCTGGCTGCTCGTATTTGTTTCATTTTTCTAGAGGGCATTTATCCACTTTTTAATGGCTTAACTTCTAAGTTATTTATATCTTAAGCAAATCAGTCTTGGCTGGCTCTTTTCTTTTTTTAACTTCTTGGCTCGTAGATGCATCTCTTCTACCTCTGCTTCTGATGTCACATGTCCATCTTCCTTCTGTCTCAGTGTGTCCTCATCTCGACCTAATTATACCTGCAAAGACCCTATTGACAAATGAGGTCACACACCAAGGTCTGGATGGACATGACTTTGAGGGGACACTATTCAACCCATCATAACCATTAAGAACAGGTGGACTCCAAAGGTGCAGGGGAAGAGAGAGCTGAAGGGTGACTAGGGATGTTTGAGCAGGCCAGGAAGGGACCAATCATTCTCTTCCTGTTGGGCAGTTGGGTCATGTGACCTCGCTGCGTGCCAGAGAGGCTGGGAAGATGGAGAGGAGCACGTGCATACCCCTCCCCAACCCCCACGGTCCCTGACTGCTTGCCGTGCCCCCATGCCCAGTACTGAGTCTGGTCTATAGTGGATGCTCCAGTGAAGGTTTGTTGAAGGGTTGGCGGGATGGATGGGTGGACGGTGGATGATGAATGAGTGAGTACCCAGAAGGTGAACGTGGGGAGGGGAACTGGAAGACGGCCGGACAGGAACCCGTCAGGAGCTAGAGGGGATTTCCCTGCCCTAGAAGAACTCAAGTCCCCCACCGCCTTCGCGGGGACATCCCCACAGCGGGGCGGGGCGGAGCGAGTCCTTGGCGAGCTGGGACAGGCCCGGACCCTGAAACTGCGGGAGCTCAAGTTCATTTCCTGGACGAGCCCGGCGCGCCCCAGCGCTGCTCCGCCGGCTCGCAGCTGATGCAGCTCGGGCCGCGGCCCGCGGCGGCGATGGCCATGGAGGAGGGCTCGGCCTGCAGCCTGCGCCGCCTGCCCTGGGGGGCCGTTCTGCGGAACGCCGTGCTCATCTTGGTCTGCTCGCTGATCTTGTACCTGGGGCAGCCACGGCGGCTCGAGTCACCCTCGGTAAGTCGAGAAGGGAGGAGAAAAGAGAGGCACATGTGTCACCTGCCGGCGAGCTCGAGGAGCTCGGGGTCGGGCCCGGCCTGGCGGGGCGCGGAGGTGGGGCGGGCAGCCGGGGACAGAATCCGAGGCAGAGGGGCCAGCTGGAGCGCAGACTGACGGACCAAATCGGAACGATGGCTAAAAGTCATCCAGCAAGAGAGATTTGGTTGGAAAGGGACAGCAGAGATAGAGGCCGGAGCAGGGACGCGAGGCAGAGGCGGCGAGGCCGCCCCGGAGCTCTGGGCTCGCGATGGTCCTGCCCAGGAGGTAAACCCCAGGTGGGGATCCCGGGTGGGCGGCTGCAGCTGGGAAAGGCGCACGGGCCGGGGCGCCGACGACGAATGACTCGGCTTTGGTGTTCCCCCGGCGGGCTGACTCAGAGGCCGCTGGGGGCTTCACAAAGCTGGGAGGGGCGTTGCGAGGGCTCCGAGGACCGGAGAACCCGAACCGCTCACCTGCGAGCCCCGGACGTCCACCGCACGGACCGTCTCCGGGGGCTGCGCAGGGGCCTGTGCCGCAGAGAGAGGCAGGTGTCCCCTCCCCCCTCGTTATGTCCAGGAAACTTAAGTTCTTTAAGGTTTTTCTTATGCTCCAGGCTGGTTCAAACGTACATACTTCCTCTTTCAGAAGTTTTTTTTATATATAAAAATTCACGAGTCGGCCCCTTGGGATGAAGGATGTGTAGCAGGATCGGCGAAGGAAAGAGGGCTCTGACTGCGCTGTTTTCTCTTTTCTTCCAGTGGGACATAGCTGAGCTCCAGCTGAACCACACAGGTGACGCGGGTGACACGGAGCAAAGTGGGGCGTGCACGCGGGAGAAAGAAAATGACAAGTGAGAGAAAGAGAGAGAAAAAAATAGAAAGAGAGAAGATGCGAAAGAAAGGAAGAAAGGAGGAAGGGAGGAAGAAAAGAAGGAAAGAAAAAGGGAAGGAAGGGAGGGAGGGAGGGAGGGAGGAAGGAAGAGAGAGAGAGAGACAGAGAGAGAGAGACCAGGAGAAAGGGAGAAAGAGAAAAAGAGAGAGAAAGAAGGGGAGAGAGGAAGAAACAGAGAAAAGGAGAGAAAGAGAGAGTGGGAAGGGGGGGGCGGTGCGGTTTGGGGCGCGCGCCATGGTGCTCTTTCTCTCAGCCTTTCTCGTCTTATCTTCTGCCTTGGAAAAGCCAAAAGCAAATCAAACACACTACGACAATCGCTAACGCGCCGTCCCTCCTTACACAAAGGTTAGCTGAGCATCTGCTGTGAGCCAGGCACTGTTCTGGGAGCCACAATAGGGAAGAGAAAAGACAAAAGACCCCGCCTTTTCCTTCTACTGCGGGGACAATAAGTAAATAGGAAAATTACGCAGCAGGCCAAGGAGACCAAGGCACATATAGTGTGTTTCAGAAGAAAATGAAGCAAGGCTGAGATCAGCATGCCAGGCTCGGGTTTGCTGTGGAAAGGGAAGTCGTCGGGGGAAGGGTCCCTGAGCAGGTGGCGTCAGAGCAGAGATGTGAGGGAGTGACTCATTCTGTGGTCTCATCCCATCCTCTCTGTAACCTGCTTCTCTTCATCCCCAGAGTTCTGGGGACCGAGTTCGTTCCTCGTTTTTCCCTCCACACTTCCTGTCCGGGCTATCGTAACAGCATCTCCACACTTCCTGTCCTCCTTCACCTGATGGACTCTGGAATCTCTCTCTCTCTCTCTAAACTGGGATACGATTGACACACGACATATCGGCATCAGGCGTACAACATCATGATTCAATATGTGTGTATATTGTGACACGATCACCACAACAAGTCTACTTCACATCCACCACTTCATATAGTTATAAACGTTTTTCTCGTGATGAGAAAAATGTTCTCTCTTTAGGATGTGCTCTCTGCAGCTGTCAAACATACAACACAGTATTAGTATATAATGATCTGTATATGGTCACCATACCGTAGATGACATCCCCAGGACTTATTTTATAACTAGAAGTTTATACCCTTCGACCCACTCCATTCATTTTGCACCCCCACCCCCAACCCCCACCTCTGGCAACGGGCAGTCTGCGCTCTATGAGTCTGTCAGGTGTTCGTTTGTCTGTTTGTTTGCTTTCCACATTCAGTCTATAGCACTCAGTTTCCCTAAACCTCATCCTTCCACCCCCCAACCCTCTGCCTCCAGGACCACGGCAGGACCCTAGGCTGTACTGGCAGGGGGGCCCGGCACTGGGTCGCTCCTTCCTGTATGGACCACAGCTGGACAACGGGCAGCTGCGTGTCCAGCGTGACGGCATCTACAAGCTGCACATCCAAGTGACACTAAGCAACTGCTCCTCCTTCATGAAGAGCATCGTGTCCCACAGGGCCACCCTGACTGTGGGCATCTGCTCCCCCAGCAGCCACAGCATCAGCCTGCTGCGTCTCAACTTCCACTCAGGTTGCACCGTTGCCTCCCAGCGTCTGACGCCCTTGGCTCATGGGGACACACTCTGCACTAACCTCACTTTGCCACTGCTGCCGTCCCAAAATGCCGACGAGACTTTTTTTGGGATTCAGTGGGTGCATTCCTGACCATTGCACTTTCTGGCTCAGATTCCTTGGGCCAAGGTGTTTTTAATTCAGTTTTTAAATTTGTATTTCTTGTCTATACTTTAAAATGATTTATAGTAAAATATATATTTGGTCACACGGCTCTTTCCTTCCTTAGAATTAACTCTACACTACACTGTAGGGCCTCCTCATTATCATCATGCAAATGACAGTGAAGGCAGATTGTGCCTCATCACTTGGGGACAAGCCCGGACATGTCTAGTCTTCTTTAGATTGAGATGTCATCTGGACTCACAGGCTCTAATACGGGCTGAAAACACACACAGGAACACGCGCACCTGGTCGTCACACACACACAGCCCACATGCACACATTTATAAAGCCGAGGGAGGGCCCCGGTCCTGTATTGCTTGATGCTTGCCTAAAATTAGTTTTTATTGGGTTTGGGAGGAAATTGGGGAGGGTTATTTTGAATGAAAATTTTGTTGCAAAAAAGAAAAAACAAGATGGCCAGCTTTTCATTGGCTGCAGGTGCTAGTCAGGCTTTTTTTTTTTTTTTTTAAGAGCTATGAGAGAACTTTCTTCCTGCTAACTATGCAAATTGAGATAAGTGTATTTCACATTTGCCCTTCTCATCAAGAGCTTTCTCTGAAAACATCACTAATCAGTGTTACTTATTTATTAACTGATTCTATTTCTTTTCTTTTCTTTTCTTTTCTTTTGGTCGGTCTGTGTCTCTCAGAGGGAGGAAGGACCTTTCCCGAGAGTCACATCCCATGGTTAGAGGGCAGGAGCTGATTGGAAACCATAGAGGTCACATTTGAGCCACGAGGAAAGTCGAAGAAGGGTCTCTCGGGCATTTGCTACTTTTTGCATTCTGCCCAGGTGCAAGCATTAGCAATTACCTTGAAGAACCAGGCTATCATCGCTCAATATTTTATGTCCTGTCTGCAGAGACTTGACAGGTCCCAAGTACAAAATTTGAAAATAATTATGCAAAATAAAATTAGAAGCATCATGAGAAATCCGATTTGGGTGATGACTCTAAACCACGCCCCTACACAGGACTGTTGCCAAGTCAACAATCAAAGGGCCGCGGAGAGTCAGGTGAGCTCTGTTGTAGCCCATCGACTAGAAAACGGAACCCAGGATGTGTTCCGTCACCAGGAAGGGTTTACCGGAGGCGGGGGTGGGGGAGGCTGGCAACCTGGTGTGCTCGGACCGGAGGAGCCAGGAGCCGTGTGCACGCTCCGACTGGACAACACAGAGGCGGGACATACAGAAGGGAAGAGGAAGCTCAGGGGCAGTTACAAACACAGAGCTCTTCCCGGAGGGTTCTCCAGGCTACAGCGCGAGAGCTCCTCCCATAAGCCCTAGCTTTTCCACAGACCCACCAGATTCACGAAGTCCAGCTTAAAGTCTTTGTCACAATTTTTCCCATAACCTACGGGGTCGTTGCCCAATTTTATGTAGCTGAGTTTCTAATTCCCCAAAGGATGTATCCGAGTGCCACTGGTAGTGTTTGCTAGTGCACGTTCGTCCCCTTGTTCCCCAGATCGACCAGCCAGAGCTACTCTGCTGTCTGCAACCGCTTTGGCCAAGGAGCTGAGTGATCTTCGTGGGGCAGCGCTCGCCCTGGCCGTGGAATCAGCGAGGTCTCCTAAGGTCAGAGATTTCTGAGCACGTGTTCGTTGGCGCGGGAGGGCGCAATGCCCTTGCCAGGAGGGCTGGGGAGGACCAACGGGAGGCCTTGGATCTGTTACGAAGAGCAAATAAAGCAATAAGTACAGCAGGGGCACGCGGTCCCCTCATCCTCCGGGGGTCCGGACACTGATTTGCCCAAGCACAGGGGCCACACCAAACTTCTCACGTACAGAAGAGGAGGCAGGCGGTGAGCGTGGGGGTCCTTCATGAGCGTTAACATTTAGGGACCCACCGGTCGCTACAGAGGTGTTGGCCAAGGCTCAGACACTGTGTTGTTACACATTGGAAGACTCCCCAGGTGCAGGGCCTGACGGCAGGCCGCCTAAATGGCCTCAGTTGTGCGGGCTGCTCTGCGGAATCGTCCACACGCGTGAGATGGACCTCGTTTTCCCACACCAGGGTTGACCTAAGCTGAGGCAGGGAACGACGGTACGAGGGTTTCATTTTCTAACCGTGCAAGAGGAAGCTGCAGAGCCGTTTGGGCACACAGCAGTGTTAAGGACTCCAGTGAAGTCACTTATAAGGCAGTCCCAGGTCCCTGCTGTCACGGGCTGGCGGAGGTTTGCCACGAGCTCCACTAGCTCGGTGGCTGCCAGCACCCGTGGCTCGCCAGCCGCGGGGTTGTTGGGGGTCTTCTTTGGATCCCACTTTTGATCACCACGTCACATTAACCTTAAACCGAGCACAGAGCAAGTTTATTTAAGGGAAAAATAAGGCTGTTAGGAATGGCAGAGGAATTGCAGCTCAGGGCACAGAGACTGTGGGAAACCACAGGTGTCTGAAGGGACGGAGGGAAGGTCAGTTTTTATTGGGTTCGGGGAGAACTTCGGGGAGGCTTGTTTAGAACAAAGTTTACGGGAGGAGAGCGAGAACTAAAAGGGCAGCTCGTCCCCGGCTGCAGGCAGTGGGCAGCGCGGTCCTGAGCTATGTGTGCGCATCTTTCCTCCCGCGGACTGGACAGGTGGACAGGCAGCCTTCATGGCTGCCCAGCTCCACTTTGGAATTCGGCGTCCACACCCCTTTTTCGCATGAAGCTGTCACGAGTCATATGTACATAATTGTTAAGAACAAGCAAATTAAATAAATGTAAGTGGAAGTTTTAAGTGACCTTTCCAACAACAATTATGTTTTATAAAATGTCCATTTCAAAATAGTTTCCAATTAAAATAGAGCTGCCATATGACCCAGCCATACCATTTCTGGGTATTTACCCAAAGGAAAAACCAAAACACTAACTCAAAAAGGTAAATGCTTTCCAATATTTGCAGCAGCATTATTTACAGTGGCCAAGATATGGAAACCACCCATATGTTCGTTAATAGACGATTGGTACATATGTAAATAAAATATTACTCAACCATAAAAAAGAAATCTTGTGACAACGTGGATGGACCCAGAGGGTATTATATTGAGTGAAATGAGTTAGACAGAGAAAGACAGATACCACATAATTTCACTTACAATCTTTTTAAAAAATGAACAAAAGAGAAATAGGGTCATAAATACAGAGAACAATCTGGTGGTTGCCAGAGGGGAGAGGATGGGGGAGCGTGTGGAAAAGAAAAGTAGATAAATAAACTCTTAAAAAATAACATAAAACAGTTTCAATATCCTTTTGATGACTGGAGACCTTGAAGTTTTACTAAGTTAAGTTACATGATAGCTATTCATTGACTATCTACTTAATTTCCAAATAAGATAATACACTTATTTGAACTAAAGACTTTTGTGTCTGATAGTAAATGTCCTGTACCACATTGGAGACGATTGCAACAGGAAAACATCCTGACCATAGGTCTCGGAGTGTCTCAAGAGTGAGGAGAAGAGGTTTTCTGTTATAGAAAGGAATAAACGATGCTGGAAAGAACTGAGCTTTCTGGATCTGGGGAGGGGGACAAAAGGGCGGTGTGATAGGACACGGGTCAGAGGGAGTCCGCCCTGTCCTCGGGAGGAGCCATCTGCTGGCTGGGGGGAGGGAGGAAGCAGAGAAGCTTAAGTGAAGTTGATTAACAGGCACTTTCGCTCCTCTGACAGGTCAGAGGGGACAAGCAGTCCAGCTGAGCACCTATGACAAAGAATGGGAATTTGAGGGTGTGCGTCTGGCCTTGTTACAGATAAACGGGACATCTGTAAGTCTTCCCTAAGTCATACGGGGAAGAACGGTCCCTTGCAGTAAGCAATTTTCCATTAAAGAAATGATAAGGAAATTTCTTAACCTTTAGGTAAAATTCAACCTTGCCGACTCATAGCTGCAGACAGAAAAAGGATCTTCAAGATCCTGCAAACTGAGTGCCTTCATGTGCCCTTAGATTTATTCCTTCTACAAATGTTTAATGAAAACCTACTATGTGTCTGCTGGGCTGCGGCGTGGTGTGTACCCCGTGAAGTTCCCTGCGGTGTCAGTCAGCACCAGTCAGGTCCAGCTGGGAAATAAATAGCACCTTCACGGTGTTCAGACAAGGGACTGTGTTCAACAGTGTGGACGGCGTTAAGGGGACCTGCCCGGAGTGGTGTGGCTCCCCAGGGGCTGGCCCGCCATGTGGGCTGGGGCAGGAAGCACTTACCAAACCCCAGTTTTGGTTTCATTGTGGCGAAGGGTTACAGGAGAGAGGACCTGTGGCCTTCACTGAAGCATTCAAATACACTTTGCAAAAAATGAAAACCGTGATGGTCCTACTATTACAAAATGAACACGTGTCAAAGATTTTATTCCATTCATCCATTAACGAAAGAACCAGTAAGATGGCATGGCAGGTTCAAATTCGAGGGGCACAATTTATATAGTCAGTCAAAGAAATCCTGAAACGAGCGAAATAAGTCAGACAGAGAAAGATAAACACCACATGATTTCACCGACATGCGGAATCTAAGGAACAAAAAGAACAAACCAATCAAAAACAGACCCACAAATATAGTGGACAATTGGGTGATGGACAGCAGGGAGAAGAATTCAGGGCTGGGAGGAAGGGGTGAAGGGTTAAAGAAGTACAAAGTAGTAGCCCGTAGAGGGTCTCGGCACAGAGAACGCAGTCAGCGGTAACGAGATGACTGGGCGGAGAGCCGGAGGAAAGATTGAGCAATCAGGGGGATCATTTCATAAACTGAGTAAATTTCTAACCAATGTACTATATACTTGAAACTAATAAAAAAAAATTAAAAAAGAAACCCTAAAATGAATTCGCTAACAGATAGAAAACTGACATGAATATCTGTAGCAGTATTATTCATAACAGCCAAAAGTGTAAACAACCCGGATGTCCCTTAACTCACGGACGGAGGAAAAAACTGTTAAATTCGTACAGTAGAAATCATTTAGG